TCTTCTGAAGCTTCCCAAGCCTCAAAAGAGTCCCAGAAGGTAGTGATTTCGCTCGTGGGGGATGGGAGCGTCGCAAGGATCCTGGAAGGCTCACTCAGACCCTTGCGACACTCCCCCCACGGGGCCAGTGGGGGCAAAATCGCGGCCTTCGCCCCATAAGACGCACAGACTTCCCCCCCACTTTTTTTGGGGGGGGGGGAAGTGTGTCTTATGGAGCAAAAAATATGGTAGCCTTTGGTGTTGGGGTCAATTGTGATGTTGGTCCCGAGGACTTTGTTTTATAAGATTTTGGTTTAGCTTTGGACGAAGATATTGTCAGTAACGGAGAAGTAGTGGTAATGTCAGTAGGGAGCGGAGGTGGCTGTGAGAATTGTGATTCACTCATGGTAGGCGGTGGACATAGGGATCGCTCCCACAGAAAGGACTTAAGTAATTGCTGATGGAGTTTGAGAGCTTGCTTTGTAAAGTTTTTACAAAAATGACAAGAAGCCGATTCTCCTAGGTAAAATAAGCAAGACTTGTGACCGTCGGAAAGAGGTAGCTTATTCGGGCACGAAGTAGACCTCTTAAATGGCCCTGCGGGTGCCATAAAAAGCGGGGAGCGGGAGGGGGGCCAGTGGAACGAAGGAAAAACAGATCAAAAGTCTCTCACTGATTTGAAGTATTTTCAGTCTTTCTTTCTATAGGATTGATTTATTTCTATTTTTCACTCTTTTTCTCTAAGGTTTAAAGAAGAAAAAGTCGCAAACGGAGAGCTCGTCATATGATGAGACTTCAGCGGCAGCAAAAAGGAACTGAGGCAAATCTCCAGGATGGGCGGACCATGTGTATTGGGGGGCGGTCCTAGCAAACGCATGTTTGAACTCTAGAATATTCCAGAGACCTCAGCACAAGTGCAGATTAACCCATTAGTGTGAAGAACGCCGAGGCCCGGTGAGAAAGAACAAGAAACTGGGCCTTCTTGGCAGTGGCCCCTTGGCTCTGGAATAACCTCCCATCAGTGATCCATCTGGCTCCCTCGCTGGGTGTTTTTAAGAGCCAATTAAAGACTTGGCTCTTTCGGCAGGCCTTCCCTCCTATCAATACTTCATTTTATTTTTATTATCATTTTCTGTTTTCCCATCTTGAGCACTACTAAGCATTACTAATTACTAATGTTTTGAATTGTTTTAACTGTTTTAGTTCATAGTGTTTAATGGAACCCCCCCGGAGTAGACTTTGTCTAAAAGGGCGGGATAGAAATCTAATAAATAAATAAATAAATATGAAGAATTATTTTTCTACAGAAAAAAATATTCCATCCATTTACTTTGTACATCTACACAACGTACTTGCCAAAACCCCAATTACCCAATTTGGTAATTTTTTTATCTCTACCACGCTTCCTGTCATAGTTTCACAAACACTGCATACCAGCTGCGGGAAGCAAAAAATGCCAGAGAAGGAGAAATACTTATGTGATTGCCACTGTACAATCAAATTAGCAAACAGGATTGTAGCTACTTCAACCCACGATGCAGAAGACTGTTTCCCCCCATACCCTATTTTATAGTACAGGCTAGAATCCTATTAGTTATGCACTGTGGAAAAAATCAGTTGGCATAAATCTCAGTGGCAAATTGCCACAAGTTAAGAAGTCAGCATGCGCGTTTGCTGTTGTGTGCCAAATCACAATTTCACACAATGGCAAACAGAAGAAGGAAAAGAGCACAATTTGAATAAACTCAAGGGAAAAAAACTTTCACCATTATTAATATATTTAACCACATACAATTTTCAATTAAACAGAACCCTTCAATGAAAACAACACATACCTTATTTTCATTATCTGCAGGTTCTGTTTCCTCCTTTGATATAAATTTATCTATGCTGCTGGCAGAAGGCTGTCTGCTGTGTCCCATATTTTTTAACAAATGGGATTGCTGAAGGGCTTCAGAAAGAAAATATAGCTGACTTAAAATTTTGCATTTCAAACAATACAGATTACTGTTTCTCTTTAAAGTGCAGTTACAAAAAGGTAATAATTCCATTACTAATATTTTCTCATGGATTTCCCATCTGTTGAAAAACTTACCAAAACAATGATTTTTAAAAGGTTCTATGGTTTCATCCTGGAGGATGTTTGCTGTTTCATCTTCCTCGTCTTGCAACTGTCCAATCTGCATTCCAGAATACTGGTTTTCAGCACTTTCTAGAATCTAAATTGTAGAAGGAATAACCTTTAAAAACAGTTTATTTAACAGTATAACTTGGTTTTACCTTCAGTTCATGCTACATATACTCCTTTAAAAGGCAAAGACAGAAGTGCTGATCTATAAAAAAGAAAAATCCAAAATCTACTAACAAAAAGGTCACAAAGAAGTGTACAAACACTCAGTTTGTCCAAAACTTTTAATAAAGTTAGATAATGCAAAACCCAGGAGATGCAAGAAACAACAAAAAGTCTAAAAATCAAGCTACCTATTGTGGTCATGAGATTTGCATTCAGACCTAATGTCAAAATGAAAAACGCAGAATGAATTAATTAGAATTTGCTGGGTACTACAGATGTCAAATTATACTTTGAATTCTGGAAAGAAGAAATAATATCCAATCCCCCTTCTGCTCACTATTTCTGGCTACACCCATTACTTGTTAGCTCAGCAACTTACCAGTTTCCATGAAAAGGTGCCCTTTTTTTAGAAACAAGACTGTTCCCCAAAACAACAATGGCCACACCTGTACTAAAACCTGAACAAAACCCATATTCAAGTAGGTCCAGGCAATAAGTAATCCATACATGTTTAGAGCACTACTGTCTACTCAAGTGCCCTGCTCAAGTTTTGCCTACGTGAGATTAACAGAAAATTATCAACCAGTGTGGGGGGAAGAAACTTTAGCTTTACAGTAGCCCACATGTACAGAGATAATGAAGCTGTGAAGAGAATATTTAAGACTTTCTAGATTTACACTACAAAACATTTTGGGTATTTGTCTATTTCCTGAACTCTGGACACATGATCCATATACACAGCCTTTCCCCATAATTTTGAACAGATTTACACAACAGATCAATATATACCAGTATGTGATATCTACAGAAGGGTAGATTATTTGATGGTTCAAATGACATCTTACACAAACAGCTAGAAATAAGCAGTCTCTTCTTTTTGGTATCTATTCAGTTCCACATACAGAGATTTGCACGCTCATTCATGGAGACACAGAAGGACAGGTTACCTACCTGTGATTGTAGTTCTTCGAGTGATCCTCTGTGATTCAAAATCTGGGTGATCCGAACATGCGTGGAGCCTCATCAGAGTACAGTGGTCCCCTGCAAGATGAATGTAATTTGTTCCGCGAGAATCGCTGCCTTTCAAAAAAAAATCATCTTGGGAGGTTCCCTATGGGAACCTCGCAAGACGAATGAAATTTATTCGTCTGGCAAGGCATTGGTCTCCAATAAAAAGTCTTGCAAAGTATGGCCATAGAAGAAACCATCTTGTGAGGCACCACAGCGATCGCAAAAAACAATCATCTTGCAGGTTTTTCGTCGTGCGAGGCAATCATCTTGCGAGGCACCACTGTATTCGAGAGCTTCTATGATCAGAAAAGATACATTTGTACAAGCCCTTCCCCCCTAGTATATGTACCTTTGTGCCAAGGCTCTCCCTTCAGTAAAGTCAACTGCCACTTTGGAATGAGGATGTGACAGTGAGGCTAGGTTGGGATGTGTGAATTACACAGGACCACTTAAAGAACTACAATTGCAGATAGGTAATCTTTCTTCTTTGTGGCTTCTGTGAATCACACTCTGGGTGATTAAAAAGCTGACTTACCCATCGGGGGGTGTCACGCCAAGGTAGAAGAAAGAATAGCATGTCCAAAAGCTGCATCAGACTTCTGGCAAACATATAGCCAATAGTGATTAATAAATGTGGATGGCTGCAACCATGTGGCAGATGTGCAAATCTCATAGAGAATCCCTCAGAGGAAAGCCATGGATGCCACCAATGCCCCTGTAGTGTGTGGGCGAAGGGGCTGTGGCAGCAGACAATGTGCAAGCTGCTAGGCAAGTCAAATAGCAGAGGCGACCCACGTGGATATACACTGTGAGGTGATTTGGAGACCCTTTGATGGAGGCTGGTAGCTCTGATAAACAGTCCAGGCAAATGTCGGAATGGCTGTGTGCAGGCTATATAAAAAAAATTGAACCCGTCTGGCATCCAAGGTGTGACGGACGCATTCTTGAGGAGTAGATGCAGATGCGAAGGATGGAAGAACCAAGGGTTGAGAGAGGTGGAACTGGGAGACAATCTTGGGAAGGAATGAAATATCTACAAAAAGCTGGACCCTGTCAGGGTGGAACTGGTGAGTGGTGGGAACACATCAGGACAATTCTGTTCAAATTACATTGGCTACCAGTTGCTGCCCGAGCCCAATCCATTTGCATGTTTTGACATATAAAACCCTAAATGGCTTGGGCCCTGGATACCTGAAGGGCCGCCTCCTTCCATATAAACCTACCCAACGATTAAGATTCTTGAGCCGTCCCTCAAGGAGTTAAGAGGGATGGCTTGCAGACAAAGGGCCTTTTCAGCAGCTGCTCCCAGGCGATGGAACACCATCCCGAGTGAGATTCATCAGGCGCTGACATTGATAACATTTTGGTGCCAGGTCAAAACCTTCCTGTGCCAGAAAATTTTTAATTGAAATAATATCAACTGTGAGTCCTGATAGCAATTTAGAGTACTGTATTTTTAAATGTATTTTAATTGTTTTATCTTTTTATTGCATTTAAATTACTGTAAGCTAACCGGAGACCTTTGGGTAATGTGGACGGCATGTAAGTCAAATAAATAAACTGGAAATATAGGTAGTCAGAATTTTGTTAATTTTTTAAAAATAATTTTAATACAAAAAACATATGCAACAACAAAAATACAAAAAATACAAATAATAGTGCTTATTATAAACTAAATTCTAACGTGTACCCCATACCCACGAGATTCCATTTAACGATATTTTAATTACAGACTAACTCTCCAAAATTGTATAGAATTTTCTTTAGAGGCTTTCCCCCTTCCTTTCACTAACACAAATTCCACAAATTTACCCCAAACATCATAAAAATTGTTAGAGCTTATTTCCCCTCTTTTTATTTTAAGTTCAATAGTCAATTTATCGTTTAATGCAATGTCCCATACTTCACTATATCAATCTTCTATTTTATTGTCATTTTTGTCTTTCCAAAACCTAGCCATTAATATTCTAGCATTCGTCATAAAATTGGTGATTAATTCTTTCGAATAATAATCCAAATCTGTTACCAAAAATTGACAATAAAGCAATTTTAGCATTAAAATCAATATCTTTACCAAATATATCACACATTTCCTTAAAAATCAATTCCCAAAATTTCTTAACCAGTTTGCATTCCCACAACATATGAAAATACATACCAATTTCCTCATCACATTTCCAACATGCTTTTGGGTATGCTGGATTTATTATATTTAGTTTTACAGGAGTCAAATACCATCTTAAACAGATTTTGAAAAAATTTTCCTTTATTCTTGTCGACATTAATCTTAAAACTCTCATCTTCCACATTTTTATCCAATCCTCATTTTAATTTCTATTTTTAAATCATTTTCCCAAATTAATTTCAAACCTTCTGTTCCCCATTCTTTTTCCTCTTGTTCCAAAATTATATATTTTACTTACTATTCCTTTCAAAATTGTATCTTGCATATCTTCATGTGATGACAGAAACTGTTCGTACTTGGTAAGTTATCTACATTTGCCATTAATTTTTAACCAATCCTTTGTCTAGGTGTCTAACTGAGTAAGATTATACCAAGATACTTTATTAGTTTGAAGTTTAGACATAATCAACTCCTTCGTTCTCATTTTGCTTACCCAGTCCTTAAATCTTGCA